ACACACACACACACACACACACACACACACACACACACACACACACACACACACACACACACACACACACACACACACACACACACACACACACACACACACACTTTTGTACAGTGACTCAGTAGGTGAAGCACTAAGTTGTTTCTAAGATCAACAACAAAAGTGTCAATCATTTGACACTTCTGTTGTTCTTAATTAAAATTACACTTTTTTTTTCCCCCCCACACATTTCTGTTAATCTGTACTTTATCTACTTTTAATTAGAGGTCTGTAAAAGTAATATTTCAGATCAACATTTTGCCTGCTTCACTTCCTTGCCCATAAAGTCTTTCATTCAATACTAGAACTCGTCAGCTGGATTAGACCTTAGGCAGTCTAAACCATTTCTGAAATACTGTTTGTGTGTAGTACAACAAGCTTAAAATAAAATTTCTGAGATGAGAAATCAATGAGGCTATTTTAGTACTAATAAGCAACAAAAATGATACCAATATTCAAAATTCATTAAAGAGAAATGTTAAGATAACACACTATCAAACATTAGGGATTTTATAGCACACATTACTAAGTCATTAGTATAGAACAGTGGTCCATGGAAAAATTGCATAATTACAGAATAGAGGTGACAGTAATGTGTATAGAATCCACTCTGGTCTGCCAAGATAAAAAAGAATTCAGGTGGTCTGTAAATAAAGAAAAAAAAAAAGTTTGAGAACCTCTGATGTAGATTAACCTGGTGTCCACTTTTAAGCAAATTATGAGTGTTAGATGTAGAACATTCTTAAAGAGATATTTCAATATACAAACAGAATACATTAAATGTATACTGTGTTGAAAACTATAATGTATATTTGGTAATGCTGAAAGATTTTTTCACTCGGTGAGAAGTATGAAAATGTCTTGTGCTCCTTTTCAGTGAACCAAATCTTCTCATTAGGGCTAGCAATCAGCTGGGTCAGTTCTTGCAGCATCGAGAGATTAACTTAAGGTATGTAGACTTTTTTTTAGTATGAACGTTCATTAACAGTCTGGGTAATAATATTTCATGAGGTTCGGTCGATTGGACATAATGTACAATAAGAATCAGTAGACAAGATAAAACATTTTGAATAGTTTGTTGTCTTAAAAATTTACAACAAAGTTGTTCTTTCGACACGCAAAGAACACTAAACATCAAGGAATTTTCACTTGGTACTTACCATTCTGACACATTTTATAAAACAAATAACTAAAGCAAAGTTACTGAATAATGTTTTGTGCTTTTAACACAATTTTCAACAAACATTTAAAAATAATATTTCAAGTAGTTTTTAATAGTTTTTACTTAAAATTTTAAATAAACCCAATTGATTGTGGAAACTAGAACATGACAGGCTGAAGGTGAAATGAGAACTTTTCAGGTACTTGGCACTAGAAAGCATGTGTTTGTTGGCCACTTCAGAGTTTTCCCAAGAAGCCGTTGAAAAACATCCGGAAACTGTTGTCACTGTACTGAAGGTTAGTACATACTGTGGACAACTTGTGTGATTAGTAGTGGAACCATAGAAAAAATGTTCCTAATGTTTAGAATCTAAGATTGCTGAGTGAACTTGAAAGGATGAAGATGGACCTCTGATCATCCATTTTCTTATGAAAATATCTTTTTTGATGATGAACGTGATAGCAATTTCTGTTCCAGATATTTTGAGAGAGAAACAATCTGTGAAGTGTATATATACTAATAATTCCATATATATGGAACTCCAGAAAGTAGGTGTTAAAAACTCAAGTGAATTTTATGTTTTTATTATTTAGAATATGCTTTAACTTTATGGAATGCTTTACCTAGTATATTGTTTTTGCTAAAGTACCTCTGTATTCAGTATTGTAAAGTTTCATTGTTTTCAGTTTTAATGTTAAAATGTTTCATTTTGTTCTTAGTACTGCATCGAGTTTAAGTTTATATTTGTTTGATTGAACTATCCATATGTTTTATCACTTTAACTCTTCTGTTTTCTCCTTACCTTATTTTGAAAAAGAAAAGAAATTAGTGTTTCTCATGGTTATTACATATATATGGAAATATTCGGTGAGATGCTGAATTACCTGGAGACAGCTGATTATTCAATATGGGAAGAAATGGTAGAACTTGGACATCTCTAAGTTTAACTCATGAGATGCTGAATTAACAAGAGACAGTTGTTTGATACTTTGTCTGTGACGGAATACACTTCTGGCTCGTTACTCGTTCTAAGAGTCTGGTGGAATGTTCCATTATTATTAAACTTCAGAGCATAACATTACATGGGAAGGTGACAATGTGTTGGTGAGAAAATGGAGAGGGATATGTGAAAAAAATTCTATAACAACTGGTTTACAAAGTACGACAGAAATATTAAACACAAGATATCAAAGTGTCTATAGAACAGAAGATGAAGTGTGAGAAAAAAGTGTATTAAGTAAACTTTTTAAGCAAATGTGTTCGTAGAAATGTGGTAATGATACAATAAAAAATGGCACGTGCTATTCCTATTTTTAATACTTAGAATACACATGTAATGCATGCGGGGGGGAAAAAAGGTAAGTATGATGGATAAATGAACAGAAATGACATTAAGATCTTTTTAAAAGTCATAATTTTTGACAACATGCCCAGAAACTGTGTTTGAATGGAACTCTTCAATAGTTGTTGATAATTGGTACTGTTCGACCCAATGCTACTGCGTTCAACTGGCTCCCATACTATAGCATGGAAAATATTTTTCCAATTATCGGATGGTTTTCATTTTGGTACGGTCTCTGCCTCGGGTACGTGGAGAGGAGAGCCTTGGCATCAACTGTCTCTTGACCATACTATCAAAGTTGGGTCCATATAAATTTTTTTCCTCTCCAACCAAAACTGATGCTGTCACACCATGTGTTGCCTCAATAATATGCTACAGAAATCTTATACGGCTCGATGCTTCCGTGATAAGGATTGAAAATATTTTACGACTAGGGTGTAATCGTGAGTTTGGTACATCGTCTAAGGTTTGTTCCACTAATATAACATTAGTTCTATCCATCGCTACGATGTTTATGTTAATCCTCTAGAATTCTATGTTGGTTAGCTGTTCGAAATTTTCAATGTCCCATATTTGCAGGTTCCAAGTTCTACAACAATTTGTTCACCAAAGTCTGACATTGGCGGGTCCCAAGCCCATCAAAGGTTTACCCTTCACAATTTTTAAAATTCTGACATTGGTGAGTTCAGAGTTCACCAACGAATCTGTAAGTAAATGAAGAGTATCCAATTTCTTGCTGAAAAATCTCCCAGTCAGAGGCTGAGTCTCAATAGATCACAATATGGTAGCTGCTATACTAAGTATGACACCTCAACCTATAATTAGGTCGCCTGCGGACGATTTAGTGCCCACACATTTCACCTTGTGGTTTGGTATCAAAAAGCAATGGGTACCATCTGCCTTAATACCGGTCAGATGTTCTCTTTAAAAGGACTTCTTTGATGTTGTCTATTCTTTGTGAGGAGAACTCTCCCTCCATATATGGTCACCCTTAAATGTAGGGGGCACGAATGGTATCATTGCAGTGGCTAGACAGGATTCTGACTTAGAGGCACTCATTCATAATCCCATGGATGGTAGCTTTGCATCACTGGTCGCTCTAACAAGAATATATACCAATTGTCAGAACCTTCGGTTCCTCATGTACTGAGAAGGATTATTATCGCAATGACTAGTCATCAGTAGGGTAAAACTAATTTGTGTCACGATGGTCTAAACCTAGCTCACGTTCCCTATTAGTGGGTGAACAATCCAATCCTTGGCGAATTCTGCTTTGTAATGTTTGGAAGAGCCAACATTGAAGGAACAAAAGCGACGTCGCTATGAACACTTGGCCGCTACAAGCCAGTTATCCCTGTCGTAGCTTTTCTGACACCTCTTGCTTAAAACTACTAAAGTCAAAAGAATCAGTAGGCCCCACTTTCGAGGTCCGTATTCATACTGAAAATCAAGAGCAAGCAAGCATTTGCCCTATTGCTCTACTTATCATTTGTGTCCTCGCTGCGCTTACTTTTGGGCACCAGTGTTACCTTTTGACAGATGTACTGCCCCAGTGAAACTCTCCGCCTAACACTGTCCTCTGAGCAGATCCTGCCAGACTCGATGGTCCGGCACTTAGGACTAGAAACGTGGACCCTGGGGTGTGCTCTCCACTTCACCAATTCAATAAAGAAACTATGAAAATAGTGGTATTTCAATGGAGGCTGCAGAGTGACCTCCCATTTATGCTACACCTCTCATGTTTCTTCAGAGAGTCAGATTAGAGTCAAGCTCAATAGTGTTTTTTTCCCCCACTGATTTCTCCAAGCCCGTTCCCTTGCTTGTGGTTTTGCTAGATAGTAGATAGGGGGAGTGAAAATCTCGTTAGTCTATCCATGTACATCACAAATTAAATGACTAGGTATTTGGCTATTTTTATAAGAACAACAGGATGTTGGAAATATGACGTCGTTCCTCAGGTCGTATCTCTCTCTGCCCCTGAGTAGGCTGACAAAATTTCAGACTTTTACAAGTACACTTATTGCCTCTAACATAATACATTTACAAGTTAATGTTCACTTTTTCAAATGGTCAGCAAGAATGATGAACATGTCCATAATGTTTTCTCCATAGTATGTAGTAGTAGTAGTAAGTGGGATATGTTTATTTTATCCTAATTCATGCACTTCATGACTACTACTCAGAGACACTCATCCTCCACATCCAGCAGACAATGCCATAACACTTGTTAGTTTATCTTGTCCTTCCCTATGACACCATTGTTTTATGTTTTCCTTTGTTTATATAGTAGTTAACCTTGGAAATATATCAGATATCCAAACAATTAGATCCAGTTTCCACTGGATGCTTCAAACGTCTATGCTGGGACAAACCAACTTTAACTAGAAAGCTTCTAGAATATGTCACAAATGTAAAGATTGCCTCAGATTGCAGTTGCTCTACATTAGGTCCTTTACACTTTGCAAAATGACTAGCTACAGCAAATATACTATTCCATATCTTATTACATTTCATACATGTAATAGTATAGTCTGTATGATTAGAAGATGCATGTTTCTTAAATGCACTATGATTGGCAAACAGTCAGTTACACAGATATTAGCTTCCATTTTGTAAAAGTAATCAATTATAAGGGCTTGTCCATGGTCCATCCGAGTCGTAAACCAAATTGTTTATCAAATTGATGCCTATTTTCCTTCGAGCTTCAAAATCAGGTATAAGGGGTGCTAGCTGAGGACCTCCTTGTTAGGGCATACGTTTGCTCTCAGGGCCAGACACTTCACCCAGTGGTGTGGCTTCATACCAACTGGCTTGGGCAACCATTACTTGGCAGATCTTGACCCTTTGAAGAGCTCCACACTTTCACCATGCAAGGCCAACCTTTTCCAGTTTCTCCTTTCCATATCCCTCCATTTGGAATAATGTTCCGGATCACTGGTCAGGCGTAGGGATCGGAAGCCCAGCCTTTTGAGCAATACCATCGATGGCTCCCAATAGACCATCATTTTCCACCAAAGTCTATGTGACGGGATCAGTCAAGTGCACAAGTCTCAAATACGGTTGGATCTTAAGACACGGGAAAGAGACTCGAGTTTTACTACAGCTAATTCCCCATCACAATGACGGGAGTATAGCAGACTGTCTGCCATACAGGCAGGCAGGTGACACCAACGTTTGACAGCCTGTTTGACGATACTGTCTAGTTCCTTGAGTTATTTCAGCTTCGGATTGCCCAGCTCAAGTTGGTTAACTAGCCGTGGCAAACCATACTTACAGAGTATGTCGACCTTCTAATGTGGCTTGAAGGGTGACTGTGATTTGCACGATCCATTTCTCTAGTGTGGATTTAACAGGCACACTGTTAATCCCAGTCCACGGACAGACGCTAGCACCTAGATAACTGGAAATTTTTCAGGACTGATGATGGGAGCATTTCACAATTTACTGTCCAGGAAGGGCAGTCATTAATGGTAAAGGTCTTATTCAACCCCCTAATCAGCATTCCTGCACTTTGGGCAATGTTAAGGCTAAGTCAATTTCCTGAACAAAATTTCTCCACGATGTTCAACATCGACTGAACATTGGCATGATCTTTAGCCATTAGTGCCATATCATCAGCATATGCTAAGGTTAAGACGGGGACCTGTCCTTTCCCAAGCATAAAGCCTTGGCTCTTCTCTTCCAGTTGACGAAGGAGAGGATCCAGAGCAAAGTTAAACAGTGTAGGAGACATGGGTCCCCTTTTTTGATGCCCCTCATTAGAACAATGGGGCTGGTAGACTGGCTGCCTACTCGAAAGGACGTCGAACAACCACTGTACATGTCTTTCACAATTCGAATGAAATGCGTGCAGACAGTGAACCTTTCTAGGCTGTTCAGAAGATGTTTGTGACCAACTGTGTTGAAAGCCTTTGACAAGTCAAGAAGCCCTAGAGCCAGAGTTTCTCTCTGCTTAGCTCTCCTCCTAGCAGACTGTAATACAAATATATTATCTCTACATCCAGCCTGAGGGATTAATCCCTCGCTGTCGGGATTAATATGCTCTACCTGCTCGAGATGGCGTGCCAAAATCCTGGTATATAGCCGCAACACAACTGAGGAGATTGTGGCCGCCAGTTTTTGATACCCCACAGACCACTCTTCCCTTTCGGGATGAACACTGACCTGTTGTACTTCATGCACTCAGGGATGCATCCTGAGAATTGCCACAGGTTGAACACATTTACCAAGGATGCCATACTTTAGACCTTTTTGGAGGAACAGAAGGGTAATGTTGTCAGGGCCGGATGCCCCGTTATTCATACCCTGAAGTGAGTGCATCACTTTGGTTGGAGTAAGCTGTTTCAAGAGGTTGGTGTTATTGGCCCATGATGGCCTGGGGCAGTTATCTAGAGAAACTATCATTTTACACACCATAGACCTGATCGTAGTGGTCTTTGACCTCCTCCTTTTTGAGGCTACATGTGATGGCTTCCTAGCCATCTAGTATTTTCTCGGCCAGGTGCTTTTGCTGGAGGTCATATATCCTCTGAAACCGCTTATATCGTTCCACACGATGGAGATGCCTTTTGTATGGTCTTGGTGCAGGTGCATTATTTTCTGTCACCTGCATAGTTGTTCTCTCATGATTCCAAGACGCTTGAGTATGGTCTAGGTTGTCTACCCATTGTTGTGTCACGACTTTGATCTCCTGCCATACTGGTTCAATGAGTCCTTTCTGATCTCTCAGCTGATCAAGGTACGAGCAGAACTTAGAGTCAGGGTCCGGAAAAGAATGCACTCCTTCCCAGTCCAACTCCTCATACTCCCCAACCTGCTCTGAGTGGTGGGTGCACCATGTATTTTTGAAGACCGTATCTTGTGCAAATCCTAGCACTTGTCCAAGATCTATTTGGAAGTCTTACCACGTAGATGTCCCACACAGAAGATATTAATGTTCTTTTTGCCCGAGTACACTACTTTCGCTTCCCGGAGTGTTTGTGTTTCTTCCTCAGACCATACTACCTGATGTGGGCGCACCGACGGTGTCATGTGTCCTAGAGAGTGGATATGTTCGGCATTCCTGATACAGGGATGCCGATGATGCTTATGTTGCAAAAGCCCAGATTTGGTCTTAAATCTATCATTGCAAATATCACAAGTGAATTTGCTCAATTCCACAGCAAATGTAACAGTTCACTGCAGATGGAATTTTGGAACATGACAGGCTATTGCATGATGATTGCCATCACTTTTACCGCAATATGAGCAGCATGCCTGAGTTAGTGGATTTTGGACGTTTGCCAAGAACTCATGGGAACATAGGTCGCATGCCTCCTTTTCAAAGGGCAAATGCACTGATACCAGTGTGCCTACCCATTCAAACCTACCCTCAGTTATGCACAATAACTGGTTCTCTACAGACAGGTTTGAGTTGTGTGTAGGTGGCAGACTTTTGCCCTCAGTCACGCACGGCGACTGGATACTTACAGAAGAGCTGTCAGAAGCTCTAGGCATAGTCCTTTCGTCAGTTTCGCCCTCAATTACGCACCATGACTGGATACTTACAGACGATCTGTCAGAAGCTCTAGTCGTAGCCGAACAGGTGTTCATCAATTCCTCAGTTCCTGAGTTCTGTCAATTTCGCCCTCAGTCATGCACGATGACTGGATACTTGCAGACGAGCTGTCTGAAGCTCTAGGCATAGTTCTTTCATCAATTCTGCCCTCAATCACACATGATGACTGGCTGCCTGTAGACGGGCTGTCTACAGCTATAGGCATTGTCCTATCATGAGGGGGACTATTAGTTGTAGTCGAGTACAACCGGTTTGCTTGCAGGATGATGTTACCTGCATTTAGAGCCCCGTTAAAGTCAGTGGTAGGGTCGTTTACAGATCACCACTATCTGTTGTAGTCGAGAACAACAGTGTTTCTTCTGATTGAATGGAGGTGTCTATACCTACAGTGGTATCTGAACTGTCGGGAGAAGTCGTAGCTAAGTCAGAACTGTAGGGGATGGTGTTTTCTCCCTCAGCTATAGTCGAATATAGCTGTCCTTCTGCTGACATGATGGAGTTGTCAGTAGGCATAGTCTGACTTAGATCGGGATGAGACTCTAGAGAGTATGTCAAAAATCAGGTTATCAACCACTGTAGTGGTTGTGTCACAAGATGTCTCTTGCAGGGAGACATTAGAAAACAAGCCATCCACCTCAGTCGTTTGGCACATATCTTCCAAGATAAGTAGTTTGCCTGTTGCACTGGGTACACTTTGGGTGTGTGACCAGGTGTTGGAATAGGTAATTAATTCCTTTATTCCTGTAGCATGAAGTCCCACGTCGGTTTATCCCTCGTCGCCAGAGAATCGCTTGGAAGCTACCATCCCCAGTTGGTGGCAAGTAGCTCGTATCTGGCGGCCACCCTGGCACCCCATGGATGCCAAACCATAGCTTATTTCTGTATTAAAACTTTCCATTTCAAAAAATGGTCTACTCTGATATAGGGCCGACTGGTTCCCTATAAAATGCAAATACAGGGTAGGTTGTTAAAGAGTCATAGTTACTCCTGCCGTTTACCAGCGCTTGGTTGAATTTCTTCACCTTGACATTCAGAGCACTGGGCAGAAATTACATTGAGTCAGAACCATCCAACAGCCATCACAATGCTTTGTTTTAATTAGATAGTCGAATTTCCCTAGTCTGTGCCAGTTCTGAGTTGTCTGTTAGTTGCTGGCCAAAACGGTCATGCAAGGTGGACACCCAGCATGGCGCACAGCTGAGGCCTTTCACGGGAAGGTCCCAATGCTGGTACCACACCTGCATCAGACTTCAGCCCAATCAGACCCAGCTCTCACAGCCAATCCTTGTCCCAAGGTTATGAATCCGTTTTGCCGACTTCCCTTACCCACATCTATATGGGTACGGTCTGGCACGAAAATCACACTCTCCCTCTTATTTTCCAGGGAGATCTTTTACAAAGGAAGAAAGCTCTTTCCGGGACTCCCGTTGACGTTTCAGAGTACGGTTGTGTTATTGCACTTGATCCAAAGGTTGATGTCCGGGTTCAGGAATACTAACCAGATTCCTTTTTAATCAATCGTGGGACCTGCAGTGTTGGACAGGTCCCGCTTTTGAAAGGATTGCTCCTATCCCTTAGCAACGACTGACCCATGTTCAACTGCTGTTCACATGGACCCCTTCTCCACCTCAGTCCTGAAGGTTCTCACTTGAGTATTTGCTACTACCACCAAGAACTAAGAAGAGCCATGCACCACCTCTCACTGAATCAAGAAAGAGCTCATAATCTGTCATAATCATAATCTATAGGTTGAAAGACAAAGCATTGCTCGACAAGATATATAGGTTTAGGTTGAAAAATAAAACATTCATCAGTAATATAGATAGGTTTAAGTTGAAAACAAAGCATTGGTCAACAACATGTTTAGGTTGAAAAACAAAGCATTGCTCAATAATATATGCAGGTGTATGTTGAAAAATCAAGCGTTACTCGTATATGTATATATATATATATATATATATATATATAT